TGACAAGTCGTTTGAATAAACTGTGGCAAAGGCAAATGTGGAAGACGAGGAAAGTTCTTCTGTTTTAGAAGAAGTTAAAGCAAATTTGTTTTTGGTGGGGTTGGAGTAGAAGAGGTGTGGGGGCCAACAACACTTTAGTTTCAGACCAGTGTTCGATCAAGTACTTAATGTGTAAGTTTGTGTTGGTAATAGTTAACAAGACATTGTGACGGTTTACTTGTAAAATTGTTAATGCGCCCTTAAAACACTTGTCAAATTTGTTTATCATTATAATTTTAGTAACCGGGAACTATTCAAGGCATCAAAAGTTATTGCAATCATAACAAGTATATTGGAACTCTCGCTCTAAGTAACTTAGAAGCCGTATCCTCTCTGAGTGATACCCGTTTGTTATTTCCCAGGTTTGCAGCAGAACTGATGTTGCTAGCGTTGTGACTTTGGGCGTGATCCCTGGCTACATTATGGCATATACGGGTTAACTGTTTCTGACTAGCGCCCATTGAATAAGGATGATGACAAATTTGGGAACCGCCAACATCGAGTTGGATAGTACAGCTGGCGGTGGCAGGTTCAAACCCCGCCCAGGTCAATTTCTTTGTTCAACTTAAAAAAAAAATCTAAATTTGTGTCAAGTCAAGTGACAAGCCATACACTGTGGCAAAGACAAAATGTGGAATAGGACTATAAGGAAAGTATTTTATCCTCTAAAAGAAGTTAGTAAGAGTAAATGTAGGCGTATGACATAAAACGCGGTTGTCTTTTTAAGATGCTTTTAAACTTGTACAGTGAAGATTAAGTTTAATTTTTTCATAGCAGTTCGAGTTTTTTTCTTGGGTGCTCGAGAAAGTCTCAAGACAGTTGAGATCTAGATGAAAGGAAAGAAAATTCTTGAAAGCGGGTAAAAGCAGAATATTTACAAGTTATCTGAAGCGGTGTAATGTTCTCTGTCCTTTTATGTGGTTTATGAAATTAAAGCTTTGTGAATCTTGTCAATGAGTTTCGTACATAGATTTATTTCATTAATTTCCTCAGTAACGGCATCCAAAACAAACAAACAAACAAACGCTTTTCCACAATTATGCGGAAAAGCAACAACAACAACAATATGAAGAAAAACAAAGCCTTTTCCGTAAATATGCGGAAATGCCAATTAAAATAAAACAAATCTGAACAAAACTCAATATTTTCCCGCAATTTAAGAAGAAATTGTAGCGAACCAAAGGGTGAGTGGGATCAATCCCACCACCCAATAATCATTTGGAGAAATAATTAAATTTTGCTGAAGAGCAAAATGGATTTCACAAAATGCCAATCCCTTTTAGATTTTAAGATCATCCCTCAAATAACGTCCTTATGCCAGATGCATACATCTGAACAAAACCTCCATTTCTATCCGAAGTTAGACCCTCTTTACACAGGGCTGCGACCTTTGGGCCTCCATTGTACGACCTTTAAACTGGCCAGGTCGACGGAGGCTCAAAGGAGGCCAAATGGTTGCCTAGGTCGTTCAAAGGTAGTACACGTACAGGATGTTTAGACATCGCCATGGATGCCATGGTCGCCGTAAATTTTTGAACATGTTCAAAACAATCGCACAAAGGTCGCCGAGGAGGTTGGTTGCCCAAAGGTGGCTCAAATGAGGCAGAAGGGAGGCACAAGCATTGCCGTGGTTGCAGAATGGATGCACAATGGTCGGCCAATAGTCGTCAAGTTAAATAGATCAGTTCTGTTGCAAATTTTACCGACAATCTGGGCAATGCTTCTGCCTCCCCTGTGCCTTCTTTGGCCAACCAATAGCGTGCATTGCACGATGACTGTGGCGACCGCTGTGCCTCCATATGGCGACCACGGCAACCCTTGAGCCACCATGGCTCCAGGGAAAATTCCCGAAAATTGCTGTTTTGGTGGTTCAAGGGAGGCACAAGGTTCGCGGCTGGAGCAGAAACATAGAAACAGGATTTTCTGGGTTTAGGCGACCATTGAGCGTCCTGACCATTTTTTGGTCGCTCATAGGCGGTGCAAAGGTCACAGTCCTGTGTAAAGGGGGCCTTAAGAAGAATGAAATTGAAGTCATAGTGTTTAGAATCAACCGTTCATTTACATCCACGGATTTTGTGTACTTTCGTTTATGCGACGTGGGCATGCCACATTATTTCTGATGAGTTGGTCCATTCATTTTGCCCCTCTCAGCTCAGGATGGAACGTAGGTCTCACTTTATCCGAACTTCTCAGCATTTTGTTGAATGACTGTTCGTGTTATGTTTTGTAGGGTCTAGATTATGAAATCGCCATGTCAAGATCGTTTGGTTTCTGTTCAGCTTTTGTCAAATTTCGTTTACGTATAAATTATGCTGATACGACAAATAAATATTAAAGGGAATGTACATCATTGGCTTTTGCTGTAATTTTCAGAAATGAACTATTTGGGGGGTTATATAATAGATCAAATATTGTTACACTGACATGTTTGAAGTTCTGTGTTCGAAAATGCTGGAAAAACCAAGAAAAACAAAAATATTCAAGTAGTCTGGTTCCCTGACTCCACTTAAGATGAAATGGATCAAACATACCAGAAAATTGTAAGGTAAGGGAACCAGTCTAGCTGGCCTGCACCCGTTCATGAGCATGGAACCAATAGCTAGCAAAACAAAATTTAGACTAAAAAAAATGGTAAATTTGGTGCAGTAATTGAAAAATAGTTAGGTTTTTCCAACGGTGGTCGGCCGACCATCGTTGGAAATGTAGACAAATATACCATTTTCTTGAAAATGGCTTCACACCAGGTGCCATAATTTTACAGGATGCTTAAGCATGTCATTTACCAACATTCTAGTAAGGTATTTCGTAACAACTTGGTAGTTTTATTTTTCGATGTTTGCAAATGTTGTATTTTCCCTTTAAAGCCCAGCGAGAAACTTAGGTGTGCGCTATTATGCCCGAGAATTTTCCTCATGCACCTCAATATTGTTACACAGGGTGTTTAAAGGATTCTTATACGTTTATCTGCAAAAAGCATGCTATCATCTTTAAGCAGACGCTACGTGCTTTTCAATGATACCTTGGTTGACCTTCCAAAGTCACGTATCTTTTAGAACCATTGTCTTAAAAATGTGGTGCAAAATTGGGGTTGGTTCATGTTGAACAAAATCGGCACAGTGAATAATTGAAGTAGATGTAACTCGGGCGGGATATCCATATCTATCACGAAGGCCCCCTTCAATGGCAAACCATTGCGCTAGCTATTGTTCAAATCAGCCGTCACGGGGCAGTTGCTTTGCACAATAGCATGCACAATGGTTTCTCCATCGAAGGGGGCCTCGTGAGCGCGCGTACAATGATCACGTTCCCGCCGATTTATTTATTTATGTATTACGTACATTTCTTTACTCAGGGTTTGCCCAAACAGTTCAAAACTGGTTTCCAATGGGCCCTGCATAAAATAAAAATGACTACAAACATGTATACAAATACAATACCTTACAAATACATTGCAATGTCGTTTTCTTTTTGGAGACTGCCTGGAAAAAGTTGCCTGCAAATTGACTCGGCCCAGTCTGCATGTCGACTGTTCACCACTCCCTTACAGGCGTACGATGGGTACATTGATATTTACCATGATTCATGATTCAATGACAAGATTGAACATCAATGATGACATGGTAAAATATTCACATCAGCAAGAATAACGTCTACATTTCAAATTAAGCAATGTGCAGCTTGCATATTGAAATTGTTAAAAATTAATATCGAAAAGGTTTAACATTGAAATTAATTTTGTTACCAGACCGCCGTAATACGCATTGGCACTCTTCAACTACACATTAAGACAACTCCCATTTTTACATATATAACAAGGTTTCCTGAAATAGCGATTGATTGTGCTGTGTAACACCCAATACGCTGTTAGGGTATAACGCGTATAATTGCTGCCTATAATGCGATCAGATAGTTACGGATAAAAAAGGAGCCAGCTGGGGAGGGGGGGGGGGGGGTGAAGGGGGGCGGCTCAGAGGGGAAGGAGGAATGAAGTGCTCTACACATAACACTCCTCCTTCCCTTTCATTGTGTCCCCAATTTATAGAAAACGTCGACCTACCAAACCCATTACAGACAAGAGCTTGACGAGATACAAGAGAAAATAAGAATACAGGATGATGAGAACGGCGAAGTTGTTTTACTTTATTTTTCAAAGACAGTAGTGCACAATATGATGGCATCTGCGCCAAGAGGCAGACATTACACCTGCGTTTCTTGCCGAAAACGGTATAACCAATTTGCAGGGAAGGACATAATGCGCCGTAAACATCCTTCATTAGTGTGCTTTTGCAGGAACCCTTTCATAATTTTTGAACTAGAGATGGTATTAACAAGCGGTTTTCACAGCAGTGATGCTGAGATTGTGCTCTTTTTGAATCTGTAAAAAAAATACCAGGGGTCGACAAACGACTCATTAAGCTTGATCGCATGATGCAGCACATAATAACAAAGCACATGGCAATTACTTAACCAAACACAAAAGCAGGCCTACATCATGTTTCAAATATGAAATCAGGGTATGAACAATGACAAAGGGATAGTTTGTCATCATTTGCCGGAGTGGCCTTCACATTAATTGATGCCGCATGAAACTGGTTGCTAAGTTGTTCTTGATATTTGATTACAAAAGGACTTGACTTTAGCTCTGTAAGCTATTATAGGGGCACTCACTTCTGGGGCAGCATGGGATAAAATGATGTAGTCTACAGTGCCAAAATAGGTATATAGTATAGTTGAGATAATACAGATTATTAAGATCCACGCGACGTCCGTTAAGCGTGTGATATTCTGGTCACATCAGCAAAAGGGAGTTCTGATTAGACACGATGGAGATGACGTGATTAGCTTTTGTTTTGCATCACCTACGATAGCCAAAATCTTTCTAATTGGTCATTCGGGAAAACGTCCATGTTATAAGAGGTTTCTAAAACCGCGCTTCGAATCACTTCGTGTTCGCATTCGTAGGGCACTGACTTGTAAAAAACAGTAGAAAGGTTCCAGATGATGTGGCTTCTTTTATTGGGCCTAGCCTTAGCACTCCTTGGAAAAGCTTCGGCAACAGGTAAGTAAACTTTTGATTCTAAAGTGCATGTGATTCAGCCCCGCTCACTTTCGTGCAATTATTGTATACACCATTGAGCCTGCAAGTCGGCCAAAATGTAGTTGGCCCTTTCAAAACCCTATTTTGAGGGAGTGTCAGTCTCAATTTCATACATCCATTTTTACCAATACCTCAACCAGATGCACATGGACACGTACGGTTCCTATGCTGGGAGACACTTCCTTTTCAGAAGCACTCATAATTGAAGAATGGACGCATTTTGTCTCATGTCGATAATGTCGACTTCAAAGTTTGTTTGGCTCTTTTGAGCTTCAAAACTTTGAACATTCGAAGTCATCGCATTATATGGTTGGGTTCGAGTAATTGTTTTATAATACCGTCTTCTTACTTTATGCCATTAAAAAAAATCATTGACGCAAATTACAAAAAAAAAAAACCTTAATTAAAGTGCAAGGCCGTAATTTGTTTCAGAACGTGCTTTGGCCATTTATCTTGAATAACTCATGTACGGCTTACTGTGTGCATTTGAGATGTTGAGGTTTCATTACAATTTCCACCGTAGTGAGCGGATTATGGCCACCAAGTGTTTTAAAAATGACGAAAGTGGCAACTAGCGTACTACCCACAAGTTCTGGTATATTTTAAAGTCGGGACCCTGACTTGTTCAGAAAAACAAATAACCCAGAATCACCCTGCGGCAACCTGTTCAAATGACGTCATCAAAATGACCGCACTTGACTCAACGAAATGAGGTATACATCGTCAGAGCTCCTTTTTGCGCTACTCTTAAGAATATCACAATGTAAATGTTAACAAAAACTGACATCTCCTTGCTCACGATCATGACTGCATTTAATTAGAATATCAGGCGGAGTCATGGATCAAATAAAAAGGTACAGTTATTAATGTCAATCATATAAAACCCCATAGGTGAAGGAAGAGTACTTAAGACTAATTTTGTAGGATCTGGTCACTTAAATATATATGTCCATATTTCCAATATGTCAGATTTTCCTGAAGTATGAGTCAAAACAACCGCACGACATCAGAGGTACAACTTATGAAGGCTCTGCACGTTAAAGAAAAATGATATCGGGAAAAAATGAGGGGATGGGGTCGTCCCCTGCCAATGAAGGAATAAACTAAAATCTGTAAATTGTTATCTTCATATAATCGCATATGCATGCCCTACGTGTACGTTGTGATATATACCCCCGTCACACCGGGGGCGCGGTGCCACTACGGTTTTTGGTCAAACCGCCATCACCGTAGTGACACCGGCAGTAGTTTTTCATAGTTTCCCCTACCCGTCACACATGTGTTTTTCTTCGCGGTGCTACTGCGGAACCAGGGCGGGATCACGGCGGAACCACGGCGGTGTCACTGCGGACATGGCGATCCCATTGAGTTACCACTGCGGTTTGATGGCGGTGCCACGGCGATCATTGGCGGCAGGACTGCGGTGTTGGCGGCAGCACTGCGGGGCCAGTGAGGTGCCACTGCGGGCCTGGCGGTGCTACTGCGGTGGCGCTGCGGCAGCAGGGCGGCTCCATGACGTCCACGCAGTGGCTATATATGGGAGGTGGTTTTCGGTCGTATTCATCAAATTTATGTTATTATCTGCCATTCTGTTGTGCTCATATTGCTAGTTTAAAACTTTCTGAAATTGAAGCAGAAAACACAAGCTTTTATACTAAAAAAATATGCCCGCAGTAGCACCGTGCAAGCACCTCAGTGCAACCTCAGTGGAAACGCCATTGCCGTACAAGCACAACACCGCCGGCACCGCCGTAGGAACGCAGTGGAACCGCAGTAAGATCGCCAAATTTTCTAACATTCCTCCCTAGCTCCGCAGTGGCACCCCCATCTCTGCAGTGCTCCCGTGGTAGCACCGTGGTAGCACCGCCATAACCGCAGTAGAACCACCCCGGGATCGCCTTAGGGTCGCCAGTCTACTTTTTCACGATTGCACGGCGGTTGTACTGCGGAGGCACGGCGGTGATAGAGGTCCTACTGCGGTCCTTGTACGGTGCCACGGCGGTCATGGCGGTGCCGCGGCGATCCCACTGCGGATTGGCCCACCCCGCGGTGGCACTGCGGAAGTTTTGAATATGTTCAAAGTTTGCGCCGTGCCACCGCGAAGGTCCGCGGTTTTGACAGTTTTCCGCGGTGCTACGGCGATCAATGACGGAACCACTGCGGAACCACGGCGATCATGGCAGTGCCACTGCGGTTTATGCCGTACAAGCACCGCAGTGGCACCGCACCTCCGGTGTGACGGGGGTATCAAGTACGCGGCTATTTGTATACGATCTGAAATTTAGCTGTATTTTCAGTGATAAGTTTATAACGAAACCTTGACACTAGTTATTTGCGGCGGAGTGACCAATTTGGGATCCCTCCATTTTAATTGTTCTTCCTAGCGACGCCGCTGAGATGACTTTTTTTTATTGAATTTGATAAAAAGTTAGAAAAATTAAGTTTTATAATGAAATAAATATCAGACCTCACCTGACCACAAGTGCAGATTATATTATCACAATTCAGAGGTTATTTGTATGTGTAACAATTGTTTATGCTCCTATGATTTTGGGTATATTTCTGTATAAGTAGATGATTAAGAGCTTGAAAGCTTGGGTGGAGTTGAAATAATTGAAACAGCACTGGACGCTCCGTGCTGTCAGAGAACTCGCAAGAGGAATTCTCAACATTACTGATTGAACAGAGCATCAAAAAGATGCAATATGTGATGTGTTATAGAATGTCCTTTGTTCAATCCATTGTAATGATCTTTCGGGATAAAAGTGCCCAGTTGATCATATCCCCTTCAACCCAATCCCTGTACATTTTTCAGATAACATTTCAACGTAATTGCCTTCATAAAGGGCCATTCAGAATAGTCAAACAAAAATTCGATCTTTTTTTCCAAATTGTGGGTGGATGGGTGGGTCAAAGCCTAAGGAAAAAACTGAAAATTTAAATTCAGTTTCAATTAAAGTAATAGAACAAATATTAAAAGCTGAAGGGGGAAAAACTACAACTAGAGGTTGTAGGAACAACCACACGGTGTTAGGCCGTGGATTACCGCAAACTTTGCAACACTCATCAACTCAAAATGTTCATGTTTAAATCCATGTTTGACTTTTTCAACATGCCGCTAGAGGGCGCTCTTACATTTGATGACGTCAATTGTAAAATTTTCGTACAGTACTGCCTAGGCAGACACTCATCGTTGAAAGCAAGTTCGCATCTTCTGCCAATTTCAAATAATAAGGCACTTCCGGTTTCGACCGGAAGGAAGGGTCACGTGATTTTGCACTTAATACCAAAAAGAAGACCCTGCTTTATTGTATCGAATGCCATAAAAACAAAATCAAATCTGTAGCAGTTGATTTTATATTGATTTTCAAAGATTAAATCTAGACATTTTTGATTGCTTGTAATATGATACTTGATGACGTCATTGTGACGTTTTTACCAGAAAATTCAAGAGCTATTTTAACTGTGCTATATATAGCCAAATCTTGATTATATCTATCAAGGTTGATTTTTTAGCAATTTTTGAAGGTTTAAAGGTCTTTTTATTGTAACTTCTGAACTGATGACGTAATCAATTTTTTTTCGCGCATAGGTCTTGTCTGCATTAAGGTCATCATGTAAATTAATTTTGAAGCGAATACCGCAAACTTCGCCACAGACATCAAGTGAAAATGCGTTTTTGACGTTTTTTAACCTGCCGCTAGAGGGCGCTCCAACTCTTCATGGCGTCGCCCATTATTTTTTTTGAAAGGTCAATCGAGGCAGACACCAACATCATTAAAAGCAAGTTCATATCTTATTCCACTTTCAAATTATTAGGCACTTCCGGTTTCGACCGGAAGGAAGGGTCATGTGATTTGACGCGCACAGGTTAAAAGGAAGAGCATGTATAATCATGTCGATTCCCGCAAAATTCAAGTTCCGGTCTCTCACGGTTGATTTTAAATTTAATTCCAAAGATTAAATTTATTATATTTTGAAGTGACGTCACGTGACCCATGATGACGTCATAATGACGTAATTACAAAAAAAAATCTGCAGTGGGTTGGGCATTTGGGTATTGACAAATGAAGTTCATATATGTTTCCATTTTTCCAAACAGTTCCGGAGAGGAATCTGTCTTGAGTAAAAAAAAAAGAATATTGATTTCATAGAATAACAGTAGGTTTCGGGCTGAAGCCCAACACCTAAAAACAAGAATATTAAATTCGCAGAAAAACAATAGGTTTTTGACGGCTAAAGCCAAACACCTACCTAAATATCCAGCGGCCTCTTCGATATCGTCTTTCATGTCTGTCATGACTGTGCTGTTCCTGTGTCATCAATAGCTGACATCCGTGTCTCAATATAGCCCAACTCGTTCCAACGGTAGATAAATATAGTGGGGCTGTTGAGTGATACGATTGTGCACTTTGTGACTAAAGCATGAAACTTCGCACGTTGGTTCTTCATGCCATGAAGAATATTTTTGGATGTGGAGACACTTCATATTTGACCTCTGGTGACCTTTTACAGGTCAATGACCTTTACATACACTATTTATAACAATTGTTCTTGAAAACACCACTTTCCTATGACCCTAGTCTATGTCATAGGTCGTCAGGCCAAGAACATAAAGATCAGATGTGAATACAAAACAAAAATTGACCTTTGAGACCTTCCACAGGTCAATGTTCTTTATATACATATTTATTGTTATTATGATTAACTCTTTAAACCCCAACTTTTTCAAGACCAAGACTTTTTCAAGACCAAGTCTAAATGTTAGGTGTTCATGATATGATTTTTTTTTTCATATGTAGGGCATTTCATATCTGACTTCTGGTGACCTTTGAAATGTCAATAAACTTTGTATGCCCTATTTAGAGATATCTATCAGATTTATTATTCAAAACTATTTCATGACCCAAGTCTAAAAGTTGGCTCTCTGTGACATGAAAAGAAGTTTCAGATAGGGGGACATCATATCTGACCTTTGGTACCCTTTGATAGGTCAATGAACTTTATATACCTTTTTCCGCCATTTTTCATATTTATTTGTGACCCAAGCCTCAATATTGCAAAAGAAAGGTATTGCACCTATTATTACACAGTCATGTAATGAATTCATGTCCCACCACATCTGACCTCCATTTTCCTTTTCAATTGGCAGGCGCAACATGTTGCGACTGGGATAGCAGACTGTTAGACTTTCTTTACAATGTCATATGTACAAATGTCTAACAATAGTCACTCTTGTGTACTTATTACACTCTGTGGTATCTAGATGGACTTGGGTCACCATATTCTTAACCTTTTTACCAAGCCCACTGGTCACTGTTAGAGTGTGATTTTTGTCCAATGTACCTCTTGTATTCTGTTGCGCCCCTGTCTGCCCTTCAAAAAGGGAAATGGAGATCAGGGGTCAGAAAAAAAATTTCTTTGGGGTCTGAATTTATGACATGGTGTAGAATAATACTTAAAATACACTTGTTTTGAACTATTTAGACTTGGGTCATGAAAAAAGTGGCATTTGGAATATTAAATATGATAAATAGCGGCAAATAGGGTATGCGAAGTTTATTGACCTCTTAAAGGACAGTAGGGGTCAAATATGAATTTTCACACACATCTGAAAATTCTGTTCATGTCACGAAGGGCCAACTTTTAGACTTGGGTCATAAACAAGTGGGGTTTTGAATAGTAAATCTTATAAATATCTATAAATAGCGCATACAAAGTTCAATGACCTCTTGAATGTCACCGCAGAGGTCAGATATGAAATGCCCTTCATATGAAAATGCTTTTCATAGCATCAACGCCTAACTTTTGGAGTTGGGTCTTGAAAAAGTTGGGGTTTAAAGTGTAAATCTTATGAATAACTATAAATACTGTATATATAGGTCATTGACCTCTGAAAGGTCACCGGAGGTCAAGTATGATTTTTTTTCACATCTGATCATTATTTCCATTGCCTGAAGACCTTTGACATAGACTAAGGTCATAGGAAATTGGTGTTTTTAAGAACAATTATTATAAATAGTGAATGTAAAGGTCATTGACCTCTCAAAGGTCACCAGAGGTCAAATATGAAATGTATCCACATCTGAAAATTTTCTTCATGGTATGAAGAACCAACATGCGAAGTTTCATGCGTTAGTCACAAAGTGCACAATTGTATCACGTATTTGACCTTTACAGCTCCGCTAATATAGGGAGATCGCGTGAGTGAGCCTTCGAGCATATGGGGAGGGGGTTGGGCTTAAACGGCGAAAACATTGAAGAAGACTTCATTACAAGTTGGGAATGGTCAGGGTTTGTTTCGGTACAACGTGTAGGCCAATATGAAAGTACACCACAGTTCGGTAAATCAGTGGCGCTCACTCAGCAGTGAAACGAGGCTTGAATTGAAGACTAGTGCAGCGCTGACACGTTTTTTGCGATAAGCATGGCCGCCATCGCACGTGTTTTATTGTGCGACATCCAGCAGATCAACAACACTTTTGGACACATCAAAAGCTAATCATAACGAAGCCGAAATAACCTTATATTTTGTTTTTTTAAATATAGTGTCTGAGAAAAATGAAAACATTGCACAAAGTTTTGTATGCTTGACAATTTCCGTCTGTTTCAACTACAAGGTTGCATGCTGGAAGCCTGGAAACTGAACCATTGAAAACTCCTGGAGGATGGGAGAGCATTGACCTAAAATATCTGCTTCCTTTGAAGCACCACTTTGCTTTTCAGTGTATAGGATATATTGAATAGTTATTCAACATTTAAAAATCGAAATTTGGGGTCGGTGGGTGGTTCAAAACAATTTTTTTTAAGATCGAATATTTTTAACCTTGACTTCTCTGAATCTCCCCTAAGCTGTTCCGCCAATATTTTGCGGTCATGTCGACTCACAATGAAGGAAAATCGCCCCCCCCCAAAAAAAAAAATTTGTTGTGTCCGGTAACATCGCCAAAAAAATTAAGGGTCGGTCGGGTTTTTTTCTATGTGGTATGTAGCATCAATGCCAATCTTTGCATAAATGTATTTCCACTTAGATGTTTCTAATGGGCTTTATTCACGAGTTGCCTAACTTAATATATATTTAAGGTTGATGATTCTTAAGAAAAACGTAGAATTTTGGTCGTGCACATCAACATTCTCAACTTTACTCACAACGGCCGCTGGCCAACTCCAGCCGCATTGCTCATTATCATCAACGCTGCATTGACTGCGTGCAGTCCACCGCATGCACTGTGTGTAAGGAGGTGTTACGGCAGAAATGTCGCGACAACAGGCAACGACATCACTTAAGTTGGAGCGAAAAAAAACCCAGCGAGAAAGTTACATTAAAATGGAATATCACATACACAGAGAAAAGAGATTAAGTTCTGTGAATTTAACTGGCAGGAATATTAGTTCTCCATCGATGTTTGTTTGGCATTTTCCCAATGTCAATTTCAACCTGTCGGGCTATAGGTACGGCCATTGACTGGTTCCCGTCCTGCTTTGGACATTGAAGCGGCGCAGCGGGAAGCAGTCTAATTACGCATTATGCATGTGTGTTTTCACCACTGCGAAGGTTGCATGCCGATCGCATCGGCGAAAAAAAACCAACGGTTTCTTTCCGGAAAAAACCAATTGTAAGTAAGCAAATTTCACAAGCAAATACGGACTACAAAAACGTTACAAAAATGCATTTTGAGCGTAAACAGTAATTCAGTATTTTTGGAGATATAATAGACACGATTTTTGTTTCTAACTTGCTGATAAAAACGGGGAATTTTTTTTCTTTTTATAAATGTATTCATTTGACGTTCATGCCAAAAACATATAAAATATTTGCCGACCCTAAGTACGACCATTTTTTTTAACGGTCGATCTGCTTACTGGAAACACAGGCATTTTGTTATTTGACCTTAGGACACACCCTTCACTGAAAATGTCATATTTGTTTTCAAACAGGAGCACATTCAAAAATGTCATCTTTTCCTGTTCAAGGGCGAATCAAGAGTGGTTACTGCCGGGGGCGGAGGGTGCGCTGGGATGGGGGGGGGGTGCAGAAGGGCTCTCTCACGTGAAACATTGTCTTGAGAAAATTTCGGTCGCTGCCGAGGAGGGGGGGGGGTCTCAGTACCCCCTGGACTCACATTAACTGTGCACATCGTTATGCTCATGCAAAGACTGACACGCAGACATCAAGATGAAAATGAAATATTATATTTTTCTTTGCAATTGACTTGAAACTTTGAGGATATGCTAATAATGAATGCTCCTACAGGCGTGACAATTTTCAAAACATGCAAAGTTGCAACAGCCGATATTTGGCGCGAAGATGTTAAAAACGCCTCTTTTAGGCGTACTGTATGGCTGGTTTATAATGACATCACTTCAAAAATGTTGTGTAGGATTCCTTTGTTCTTTCATTTTGACCTATAGTCGCTTAACATATTTTTCAAAGTATCAAATAAAGCTCTTAGAATTTTTTTATTGCGAGATTCTGTTCATATGCGGTATGCAATGGTATCTGTGACAACTTATGCCTCATTTCGTTGGGTTGGGTCACAATAAATTGCATGAATGCGGTCATTTGCAGACGTCATTTGAACATGTTGCCCCGAAGTGTTACTGAGTAATTTGTTTCTGAACTAGTCATGGTCCCTACTTTAAGCATACCAAATTAAGCTGTTAGTAGCTAGTTACCATTTTTATCCAAAGTTTTCTGGTCTATCTACTCACCTACTATCGAAATAAGCTTATGTGATCAAAATTCAGCAAGATGTTTGTTATGAAAAAAAAATTTGCAAGTGCCGGGAAATAAAGAAAGGACCTTAGTATACAATTATATTGCGATAAATTAAAGGATATCGGAGAAGTGGCAATTTTACATATCCACTTTTTCTTTTAAAACATGTTGAAGTTAAAGCAAAACCTGTATTCTTTTGTTTGAATGATGTCATGAAATAAATGAATGCATCGCTATCGAAATAACGTTCTGTTGGAATCAGCACAAACAACGGTTTTTGATGCTTATTAATTCTCCAGTGATTAATTACAAGAGAGGGCGTGAGAAACAATGATGCCTACACGCTCATTAAATCAATACACTGCACTTACAAAACGAGTCCGTTTGATAATAATTATACCCATGAGATCAATTTAGTTTCATTTTGTTTCTAAATTTTCCGCAATTGCAAAACAGATGATCACGATGATTACCCAATTCGGCTTGTTGACGGTGCGACCGATAACGAAGGACGGGTTGAGATCCTCTTCAATGGCCAATGGGGAACCGTCAGCGGCAACGGTTGGGATTCCCGAGACGCTAGCGTAGTGTGTCGACAGCTTGGATTATACGGCTACAACTCGTCCGTTGGTAGTGCTTACTTCGGTGAGGGGACCGGCCCCATCCTGATTGACTATGTCGGCTGCTTGGGGAATGAACATCGCCTCAGTGACTGCGCCTTTGAAGGTTGGGGTGTCCTGGCGAATCATGCGTTAGATGTCGGTGTTCTCTGCCAGACGGGTGAGTTGTATATTTATCTTCAAGCAAACTTGTATCCTCGATCCTGATTGGTCGATCCATGGCAACAACAGTGTGATGAGGCTGTATTGCACGGTCCATATCGCACCCTGCATATTGCGCTATTCCAAGATGCGAGCGACATTCCAGCTGCATGCGCTAAACCGCTAAAAGGTTCGTGTAAAGCGATGGTCCAACTTTACTGCGCGTCAATTTTGCTTGAAGATAAATTCATTATCACGCTTGCGCTCGTGGAACACGGAAAATGTAGTGCGTCTGTGTCCGGTGTCCCACATACCACTCTGCCCGGCCTCGTGATATGTGGGACACAGACGCACTACAGTCGATCTGAAATAAAACTTCGACTTGCCCTCAATATAACTCAGTAAACAAAATTTTTATAGTGTCAGCTATACCATGGCCAATGTCGGCAATATTGGTGAGTTTTTTTTTAAAGAAAGAGACAGAGACAATACACTGATCGTCTTGGCGCATATTTCACGACGAACAATATCACTGATGCGACACGCAAAAGGGTCATATACAAAAGGTTCACTACATAAAAATATATTAGTGATCTTCTTGCTGCTAAGAAACCAAAACGAGGCCATGCATACCAGGAAATAGTAGACAGGCTAGAGAAACGTTTAACGCCTACCAAGTCGAGCATCTTCGCGATCGCTTTCAGTTCGACAGCCGATATCGGTGGTCTGACCGAAACTTTGACCAAGGATAACGTGGTGCCGGTTAGCACCAACACCCTTTGGACCCAGTTTCAAGACGTTCTTCAGACAGCTGTTAACAGAAACAGAAAGCAGAGACTTTACAACAAGGCCTGGAAATCTGGACGCCCTGCTGATTGGTTAAAGTTTAAATCCTTGCGTCGCTCAATCGACAGAGGTATTAGGAAAGCTCACCAGCAATATGTCAATGAGGTGATAGGGGAGAGATTCTAAAGAGTGACCACACAAATATAGTCAGTGGGCTTGTGGTGGCCCATATGCAATTTCGGGTACATTCTTTGAAACTCTCAGGATCACTAGAGGATACCTCAAGAAGTTCAAAGCCACTTGATGCCATTTTTTTCTGACCCTTTTGTGGGCGTGGCCATGATTTTAAAAAGTGGGGGGCATGGCGCGCAAAAAAATAATTTAAAAAATTTTACTTTTCTTTTTCGCATTTGGACAGTTTACCCAAGTGCTACATCTCAAGAGAAAAAAAATCCACAATTTTGCCTCTTTTTGGGGTGGGGCAACATTTTAAAAAGTGGGGGTCACATGTCGCTAACAGAAAATCGACCTGTAAAATGCAATCTTGAGGTTTTTTGTTTTTGTTTTTGTTTTTGTGTCAATCCCTTATAATTTGGCGAGGAAAAAACGTTTACATGTCAACTCATAAATTCTTTGGCTCCCACGTGGGGGCGTGTCACACGTTTTTCATAAAAAGGGGGCATACGTGTATTCCAAAAGGAAGCTTGTGAGAGCCCATATGGATTATAGCACATTCTTTCAAACTCTCAAAAACACCTCTGGACACCTCAACAAGTGAAAATCTGCTCCACCCCTTCCCCATTGGCCATTAAAATGGCAGCCGTTTTCAACATATCTGGCATATTGTACACATACATGTACAAATGGACAAATAATCAATTTTATGAGACATTTTTGTATTGATATACAGTGAAATTTCGATAAGTCAAACTTTGAGAGAATGGGCTCAAAATGTGAGCTAAGCTGAGTTTTGAGTCAAGCAGGGTTGTATACCACTGTTATACAACTGAAGGGAATAATTAGTCTTTGTTTGACTTAACAGGAGGTTTAATTTATCAGAGGTTGACTTGTTGAGATTTCACTGTAGTTTATTTTGTCCTGACAACAATGCTGACCTTGTTTTATAACATACAAACTGCAATAGCCTTTTTAACTTTAAATTTATTTATCTTCACTTCATTTATAAAAATGATATTATGAAATGTGGTGCTCGATCATTGGAAATAAAGTTTGAAAATTACAAATTGCACTATTAAGAGTAAAACTTTCAAGTGGTTTTGAACTTCTTGAGGTATCCTCTAGTGATCCTGAGAGTTTCAAAGAATGTACCCGAAATTGCATATAGGGGGTCATTTTTGACCGTAAGCCCACTGACTAAAAGCCCTTCTGGAGCTATATCCAAACCACAAGCCAGGAGGTGTTTGGTATAACATCTCTCACTAATATGGGACACTGTGTGTCTCTTGCTGCTGATAAATCCCAGGCACTGAACAAACAGTTCTGCTCCGTCTTCACGAAGAAAAACCCGAGGACTTCCCAGACATGGAACCAAACGATATCCCAGATTTACCGAATCTCATCATAAACACAACTGGCGTAGAAACACTCCTCGCTGACATTCAACTAAATAAATACATAGGGACCAACCAGGTTTCTGCCAATATTCTAAAAAGGAGCCTAGCTCCGGTGCTGCAAACAATATTTTAGAAGTCTGTGGATACTGATACTCTATCAGACAAGTGGCTAAAAGCAAACGTCATTCCCTTAAATACAAAAAGGGCGACCGCACCACAAATCCCGCAAATTACAGACGGGTGTCACTAACTTCAATTCCAAGTAAGATCTTAGCACACACCATACACCGTCATATTTTGGACCACATGCAGAAAAAATTCAAAGTTCTCTCACATCATCAACATGGCTTCCGTCAAGGTAGATCATGTGACACTAAACTCGCAGGTCAGACTGATGATCGACATTGCTAAGATCTTGGACAACAAAAGACAGGCAGATCTGATCATATTGGATTTTAGCAAGGCCTTTGATACGGTCCCCCACCAAAGATTACTACGCAAGTTGGAGCACGTCGGCATCAAGATCAGCCTACTTAAATGGATAAACACCTTCCTCACCAACAGACATCAGCGTATACAAGTTAAGGGGAAGATGTCACCAGAATCTCCAGTTAAATCATGAGTGCCCTAGGGGACCGTATTTGGGACCTTTGCTCTTCCTGTTATACATCAACGACTTACCAAAGGCTGTCTCATCAAAAGTCAGACTATTTGCAGATGACTGCATAATTTATCGAGAAATTGCAAGCAACCATGATAGTCAGCTCCTTCAAAAGGGCATCGATTCTCTATGCTATTGGGAGGCACAATGTCATGCGATGTGTTGTGATGGTGAAATAAGGTGAGACGGCCACGGCTTGTTTGTGGACCTCCATATATCTACGGCTGGTAGCTTTATTGCCCTGAGTCCCTAGCGCGCATGCGCTGTACATGAATATGCATATCTCTACATCCCCCTCTTTTTGAAATATTACTTTTGCATAAGTGAAGTATTGAAGGTGTATGCTTAAAAATGCTGTACCCTAGGTAATTGAAGAGTGTCCACTTTAACAGGAACAAACTAACACTTGAATTTCATAACTGTACATTGAAGTATAACATTTAAAGGTCAATAAAGAACAGACACTTGGTGAAACAGATGCTTCAATGGAAGTTTGTAACGAACAAGTTAGGTCTTAACATATCTGGCTGGCAGTTTGGCAACCCGACATGATCGTGTGGTTTTAGGCCTTTGAAGAAAATCTTCTGCGTTATTGGGCCTCGCTTTTGGTTTTGGGGATTTTGTTCCATCAGTGGGTTTTTCAACCTTGTGCTGGTCATAGCCTTGCGTTGGACTGAACACGCTTTGGTTGCTTAACCGCTGCAGTTGCCGTGTTCTGCTTGCGCAGTATAGGCTTGCTATGCATTTCGCGCAGATGTGATCGGTTTCGCCGGATGGTAGTTCCATTGGGCGTTTTGACTTCATAGGACCTGGGCTCTTTGCAGACCTTGGTCACTTCTCCAGGAATCCAAGATTTGCTCGGTTGGTCCAATATGCGAACTTTCTGTCCGACGTACAAGGGAGGTAGATCAGCGCAAGCATGTCACGGTTGGCTTTCATGCTTTCCCTGCGTGATGCCAGACGGTAGTTGTTCTCCAACGGTTTCTGGGTGGTAACCATAGGGCTGTTGCTCGGTAGTGTGGTGTTGATTGGTCGTCCAAATAGGATTTCTACTTGGAGGACAGATGAGCATCAATTGTTGCTCGTAGGTTGAGCAATGCCTTCTTGAGATCCTGGTAAGTCTCGTGGCACTTTGTCATGACAGACTTCACGGTTCTGACCGTGCGCTCTTCCATCCCATTCGAGCGAGGGTATCTAGGGGATGAGGTAACATGGGTGACCGACCATTTCTCACACATGGCTTTGTACGGTTGTCCAACAAACTGTAGACCATTGTCGGAGACCATTGTCGGAGATCTCCTTTGGCTCGCCAAAGATACTGAACGTTGCTGTTGTTTGTTGAGCGACATATGTGCTTGACTTGTTAGGTAATTTGTGCACCACTGGGTATTTCGAGTGATAATCCACCATGAAAAGGCAAGTATCACCTCCAAGCTCGAAGAGGTCTGTGCCCAGCTTCGTCCATGGTGTGAGAGGTACATCATGAGGTTTGAGTGGTTCCTTCCGTTGGCGGCTTTGGTGTGCTTCGCATGATTGGCATGATATGACTAGTTGATTGACGTGGTCATTGATGTTCGGCCAATAGACTGAGTTGCGAGCTAAGCGTCTCGTCTTTTCAATGCTGAGATGACCGATGTGGAGTTGGGCGAGGATGTCTTGTCTCATTGATTCAGGTATGACTACTTGACGACCCTTGATCGTCTCGCGTTGGAGAGCGTCCTGCTTTGCTGCGCCAAAGTGCACCAAGTCTAGTTCCTGGGTGCTTATCTGTTACTCAATGCCGTGAACGTCGACGGCAATATCTAGGGGTACGTCATCATGATCAGTCGGATTAGGGAGTCTGCTCAGTGCATCGGCTATCACCATGGTGCTGTCTGGCTTGTACTCAAGGTCAAACTGGTACCCTTGCACGTTGATCAGTAGTCGTTGCAGACGTGGTGGGGCACTGGTTAGTGGTTTGTTCCATATGGTCACAAGCGGCTTGTGGTCGGTGAGCAC